CGTGCCCTTGATGGGATCACGGAAGGTGGCCTTGTCCCTTGAGGGGACAGGCCGGGATCCCCATCTTCTCTGCAGCTGTGCTCAGCCCAATGACTGTTCACCTCTCCGTGCCCCAGGTACTACCACATCCCCATTGGGAACCTCCCAGATGACATCTCCACCTTCGGCTCCGACCTGTTCTTCTCACGCCACCTCCGTCGTCACAACCACTTGCTGTGGCTCTCGCCTATGGCCCGCCCAGACCTGGGGGGTAAGGAGGCTGACGACAACCGCCTAGTCATGGAGTTCGATGAGAGAGCCTCCGTGGAGATAAACAACCCCGGCTGCTACTCCACAGGTGAGGAAGGAGTAGGGTGGTAGCGCCAAGCAGGGGCAGAGATGGATCCTGCTCTCCAAGCCCTGTAGAGGGATGGATGCAGTCTTCAAAGAGTCTCTGTGTTGCCCCATCCCTGGAGGGGTTCAAGGCCAGGCTGGATGAGGCTTTGAGCAACCTGGGGTGGTGGAAGGTGTCCATGGGACACCCATGGCAGGGGGGTTGGGCCTAGTTCATCTTTGAGGTCCTTCCCAACCCTAGCCGTTCTATGACAGTAGTCAGCAGCAGTTTTGGCATTTCAGCAGCAATCCAGGCAAGGGGCATGTCCTGGGGTGGGGAGGTCTCGCCTGCAATGTGTGCGGGCATCCGAATGCAGATTCTTTCCCAGTTCATGGCCACCGACAGCAGTTCTTAGCAGACCACCTGCACCTGCAATGTGTCAGCCCAAGGACAGTCTAGCTGAACTGGTCATACCCGGTGACCCTAAGACAGGTCATTCTCAGGGGCAGAAGCAGCTTGAGTGGTAGTCAGTTCCTCTGACCTCCTCTGCTGCAACTTCCAGAAGAAAAATGGTTGTTCCCAGAGGGTTAGTAGGTCTGAGTCTTGTTGGAAGACAAGTGCCAGTCAAGACAGTCATGCCTGTGAAAGCATCTCCCTACTTGGTGCAGCAACACCTATAGATCATCACCCTTATAACTGAAAAGCACTTCTGTCAGAGGGGCAGGGGAGGTGTCCTTGTCGGTCCTTTGCCCTGCTGAGAGGTTGTGTTTGCTGGTAGTGTGTCTGGAGCTGGACATCCAGAGCCTGGCTGTGAACACGGTGTTGCAGTCCCACCACGTAAACGACATGGAAGGAGGCTCCAGCATGAGCATCAGCTTTGACGTGATTCAGCAGGCGTCCCTAGAAGACATGGTGACAGGGAACCAAGCTGCCAACATCCCAGCCAGCTATGATGAAACTGCCCTCTGCTCCAACACCTTCAGGTATGACTTTAGGAGTGTCATGGTTTTTAAAAGAAAGCCACTAGACAGCCTCT